GTTTTCTATTCCCATAAAGAGTTACCGTCTTGGAAACTTTCAGGTGCAGTTTTGCCTCCTACAGGGTCACTCTGAGTTGGAAACAACGCAATGGCCGTGAGACAGACAGACAGACAGAGATAGAGAGAGAGAAGTTTGTTGGGTTATCCAACAGACCACATGTCACCTCTACAAGACTTAGGTACAGAGGAGCCCATTCTGCTTGCTTGCACTAGAAATGAAGTCTTTTGTAATCCAGGAGTCTTACACTCTTCTGCCAGCAGGTGTGAAACAGCAGTTTACAAATACGGTAAAACCTCAGGCCCTTCGCGGTTCTTGACACAAACACCCATCTTTAGTATAAACATCTACCCCTTCCACTGTTGCTCTCCTGAGGGGCCTTTAAAAAGGCAGCTGCGTACAACACTGGAGAGAACGCTGGGGTGGGGGTGGGGGTATGAAGGGGAAGTGATGTGGCTGCCACTGTTAATTTTCAGAGAATCCAGCCAAGATAAAAGAAAAGACAAAATGAGTGAGGGAAGGATAAGCGACTGACGTGGAGGCAATGCGTTCAACTGTCACCACAGGTAGCAGAGACATTGGTTTTTACAAAAAATACCTTCCAGGTTGTTTGAAGAGTTTTTAAACTGTTTTTTAACTGTTTAAAGGGACCTGAGAAAATAACCTTCAATCCATTTTCTAGAAATGTCTGAGGGAATCAGTTCAGTGATTACATTCAATGGAAAACACACACAACCAATCTTCAAGGCTCAGAAGGAACACACGGGCATTTGTTGTCCAGTAAGCCTGTTGACTTATTCTGTGTTGAAAGATATGCACATGAAACTCATCATGCATCCCAGATACAAATGTAATCTTTTCCCATTTATATATTGTAACCCTACAATCTAGAGAACCTGAATTTACATTTTCTCAGTTTATTTTACAAAAACTAACAGAACATTTGCTATGAGTTTTTTTTGTTGTTGTTGTTTTCAAAAGGCCAACCTATTATGAGGTAGAATGGATGTGGCAAACCTATCAATGATTTCCAGTAGACATGATGCTGGGGTTGGACTGACCATGTCACAACCCTCAGAATGGGCCTGACAGGCCGAGCCCAATCAATGTCTCTTTGCCTCAAATCAAGGACAGATGATAAACTCGGCATAAGCAAATCAGCACCTAGTACCCACTGTGCTATTATTGTGCTTGGTAGGATTTTTGTTGAACTTGGTCTGGATGGTGTGCGTGCAGGTGTCAAGCCTGAAACCTGATGCAGCCATGTGACTGTCGTAAAAGAAACCACCCTGAACATGAAGCTGACATCCAGAGGAAGGAGAAGTAAAAAGAGCCAAGAGGCATATTGAATTCCACGGAAGACCACCTCACTCTGGACTTGTTCAGGCACGTAAGCCAACACACTCCCTTCCTTATTTACACCAGCTTAAGCTGTTCTCTTTTCTGTCGGGTCAATTCTGATTCATAGTGATGCTACAGGACAAGTCTGTCATCTTACTGAAGCCACATATCCTCCTTTGAAGCAGCTGGTGGGTTCTAACCAACTGACCTTTGGATTAACAGCCAAGTGCTTGGCCACGATGCCACCAGGGCAAAGCATTCTAACTCATCAATGTGGTGATTACTCTGTGAACTGCAAACTTATACCCAACCATTTATTCACTTTATGTGCACTGAGAAGTGATTCTCCACTAAGGAGTTTGCTTTAGTTTTACCAACCCTGTCACCTCATTGTGAATTGCTATTTCCAGAACACTTTTAAGAGAACATAAGAAAAACAAGCTAAAGTGCATGGGTGTGTGCACATGCTTGCCTATGTGCATGTGCGCACGTGAAAACACACACACACACACACACACACACACACACACAAAGTACCTTGTTGCTTTCAGCACCACTGAAGGAAGTGACATGTCTAACGCTCTCTTAACTTCTTCCAAAGTCAACCCTTGCGTGCTGACTCCATTCACATAATGGATGACATCTAAGAGCTGGAGATTGCCTTCCATGGCTGCAACTGACCTTGGGTTGATATCACTAATATACACCACTTGATGAATGCTGTTGCAACCTCCAGATAAAGAAAAACCTTCAGGGAATAAAAACATTTATTTACTTAGGCATAAGCATACTTCTCTTAAGCTAGTCATGAAAACTATTCTGTGCAAAGCTTGAAACTGCATTACCCAACTCCTCCTTGTTGCATGTTAGAGTAACATCAGGCAGCAAATGAGGCAACACTGGCATCCTGGGTAAGTCGAGAACTCGGCCGAGCACTAACCGGACAGTCTTTGGTGCTGCTCGAAGCAGGTTTACTGCATCAGTGTGAGTCATGTTGGTAACATCTGTATCATTGACCTAAAAAATGAGAATGGGTCAAAGTAGGATTTCAGTTTCTAATATAAGAAGCTATGCTGCCAAGAGAATAGTTTTATCTTCCTAATATTTTATATATGCTAGTGAGTAGAAGACTGAAAAAGAAATGCCTGTATTTCCTGCTAATCCTCTACTGTGGAATTCATAAGCACAATGTGACAAAAACGTAAAGCACGTAACAAATCCAACTTACTTTGCTAATAAGAGAAATTTATCCTCTCACTAAGAAACTCCCTGTATCTGACACTCAGGGTAGGTTGTTCTCTACTTAGATAGAGGTCAGAGGGAATTTCAAAAGATTTGAAAGGAATTTTAAATGTCTCACCTTTATAAGGCGGTCCCCAGGTTTTAACCTTCCGTCACTTTTGGCAGGATCCTGAATGACATCATGAACGTAACAACCGATGCTTTGATTTCCTTTGGTAACTGTAAAACCCAGGCTTCCTTTTTCAGACTTAATTAGGGTAATGAGGAGTTCTACTTCCTAAGGGAAGAAAACAGTAATTCCTTTAGGTTGTCTGTTTTGCCATGCAAGTAGACATACATAAAGACATCCAGGCAGAGTACTATAATTTCCTTTTACCTACAAGGGAGGAAACTGATGCCAAAGAGGTAATTAACTTATGCAAGGGAAGAAGCCAGGTGAGTCCAATTCTAGGTAGAATGCCACTCATGTAGATCCCATTGCTATTGAGCTGAATCTCACAGTACCCATGGATGGGTTTCAATACATTCTGCATTTCCTAAGATGGGAATTACTCAGGGACCTTTTCTTGCACTTTCTGGACAAAGGCATAATACGGCTATTCTTCATGATTAAAGAGCATTTTCTTTAAGGAAAAAGGCTTCACATATTTCTAAAGCACCAATATAGACGCTGTTAGTAAAATATGAAGTCATGGGGTGGTTCAATGTAATGCCTTCATTTATTTATGCACACATTTTTTTTTTGTAAAATGATTTCCCCTGAAATGTAGAGATTTACAAATTTCTACTAAGGAGATCATTCAAAATCTGTATTACTCTATGGCTAATGATGATAATCAAGATACAGACCACACACCTATACCTACCTAACTACAGGCAAACACAAAATCTACCAAGAGAAATGCCAAGGTGTTTATGGTTTGGAGGGCTTGAGATTACACATGGTTCTAATCTTTCCCCTTATTTTCTAATTATTATTATTACTTTTAACAGTGAACACTACTTGGAAAACTATTATTTTTGAAATTAAGTTTCAAATCTAAAAATGCCAACTTTTGTAGTACTAGGGCCACTATTACAATGTAAAAGATTCTATTTGGACTCAGAAAACAGTATTATGGAGAAAAAGTCATATTAAAAGTTGATCCAAGTTTAATAAGCAACTCATTGGAATTCGAGAAATAAGCAACAACAAAAAAATTACTAAGTATCTTATTCTGTAGCAGGTAACATGTCAGGTACATGCCTAGGTCTTTTAGTTAATCCTCATCACAAATTCATAAGGGTCAACTCAGAGTTGTCATGTCAATTTTGACTCTCAGCAATCCTATGGCATTACGTGGATCTGCCCCATATGATGTCCACGTTGTAATGGCTATGGGAGAAGGCTGCAACATGGCTCTCACTCGGAGTAGCTGGTGGGTTGAAATGCTGACCTTTTGGTTAGCAGTTGAGTCCTAACCACTGTAACACCAGCACCCCCAGTTTATAGCTGAAGCCAGCAAATCTCAGAAAAATGACACAGTATGTACCTAGGTGTCAACTATATACCAGGCATGCAATCATTCACTAGATACAGATATACAGCTACTCTAATTGTTCATCTTTCCCCAACTAGAAAGGAATTCTGTGTATCTGTGTTTTACTTGAGGAACTCTGGTGAAGCTGTCAGGTGAGGATTGGCTTGGTAACTACAAGGTCGGTGGTTCAAATCCACCATCCATAACAAGGGAGAAAGATGAGGTTGTTAGTTTTCATAAAGGTTTATAGCTTCAAGAGTAGGATTGCCATGAGTCAAAATTAACCTGATGGCAGTAGGTATTTTAAATGAGTAAATATGGCTTTAATTCAATACAGAGGAAACAACTCACCAGCTCAAAGTCTTCAAGATGGTTTTCTGAGACCTTTTTCAAAGATGTCAAGTCTCCTTGCCTCATAGGCTCAGAAGTATCATGAGTAGGGTGTCTATCCATTGAATTAGAGGAAGAAGATTCTGGCTGTTTTTGACAACTCTGCTCAGTCACATCCGGGGGTACAGGGGAAGGAGTATCACTACCAAGATAAGAAGCAAAAGTATTTTCAGGTACATTTCAATGTCAATGTATTAAATATGTGGCACAAGGAAATGTGAAGCATTTGCAAATCATAGCACATACTTATATCTGATTTTGATTAAGATCCTACTTAATTTATGCCTGATTCTGAGCAGTGAATTCATTTTACATCTGTTACATGGTAACATTACCAATTTCTTTTCTTTCTTTTTTTTCAGCCAATTTATTTTCAATTCAAATTCTATTATGAAGAAGCTCTTTAAGCTGTATGACCAGCAAGGTGGGATGAGTGCCATTTTTTGATTCCGATTCCTTATTAACTCAAGGGCTGAAGCCAATGTTACTCAAAGTCAAGTATTTGTGCCAAATGGAGAAAATAAAGAATATAAATTTTACTCTGATGGTTGGTTCAGAAGACAGAACAGGAAAAAACTACCCTTTTCAAGAACACCAAGCAAACATGAACAAATATGATTAACCCTGGATACAGACACACGTGTCCTTGTATTCTTTATGCTTGCAAGTCTTTATTTTCGTGTCTGCTACCCCCTTTTCTCTCCTTCCTTTTGCAAACTATCAAGCCTTTCCCTCTCTCTTTCAATGTCTATTTTGGCTAACTACTTTGCCACCCATCATTATTTAAATAGGTTTCTTCTCTTTCAGGTTAAAGTAAAAGATAACCTTGCCAATGATATTAAAAATACACTGGAAGCAAGGCCCGTGTTGAATGGCCACAGAGCTTACTGATACAGCTAGACATCCAGGTCATCATCCACTGTGAAGTTCACAGTTAGACCCACTGCATTCTCACAGTTACTGACAAGCTTCACATGCAGCACATACAATTGAGAATACCTGTGCTTGACTTCCAGTTTGCCGGGTATTTCCTGAGGACAGTAAAACATGGCACTAGGGGCATCTTCGTGACTCCTGGATGCTTCATGTTGACCCTGTGCTTGTGACACCACGTGGCTCAGAGTCTGATGCAAAGTTGAGCTCCAGCTCATATCTGCCAACCTTGCTGGAGCTTTCCCTGAGTCATCTTCTCCACTCCCACTGCTGTCACTGTAACTCTCTCTCCTGGATGGGGACTGACATTGCTTCTTGCTTTTGTCAGACACATCATTGTCATCTGAGCTGGTGCCTTGCTCCATACATGAAGGCTGAGGAAAGGCTTTCGTGCTGTTTAGAAGGACTTGTGCTGGTGAGTGCAGTGGGGTCTGCAGGGAGACATAGAAAAAGATACTCATATGACACATACTGACTTTAGCTACTGCTCACTAGGAGTGGCAAGTAACCACTCTATCAACCAGAGAGTCTAAAGCTGTCTTTCGTCTTCCTCAATTACTTCATTAGTTATCTAGTTATGGAATTGTACCTATCAGCATACAATTTATAAATAAAACAGTTATGATCCTTCAGCTATTTCTTGGACAAACCCCTTTATCTGTTATGTTTAGTGTTAAAAAGAAAAAGACCAAAAATCCTACAAAATCCTCTTTTTGTCCAAATTAGTTCAGAATGAAAATTACATTTCCCAGTTTGACACAAGGAAGAAATAAACAAGAGGCATTTTGTTTGTTTGCTTTGAAGACATTGTTTTACACCCTCTCCTACTTACGCATAGGGACAACAATCCTGAAATCTGAGAGCTCTTGAATTGAAAGAGAGGAGAAAGTGAATCTAATTATTTTTAAATGACAAATCTAGAAAGCACTCCGAGGAGTGAAGTGGCACACTGAACACACAACTAAGCAGAAAGCAGAGCGCGATCAATGGTGCAGTCACTACAGCTGAAACAGCGACTCTCCGAACTAATTCTCTATGAAGATCTCAATTATATCTCCTCAGTCTCACCAAATGAGCGGTATCAATTTCAGGTAGCACACCAAGTGGAGGTCTGCAAAGAAGCAAGGAAACTTCTGGGGACCTTCCCCGGAGAGCGGAAATGACTTCCTGTGGACGCCATGAATGCAAACAAAGATAGAGTTGAATGAGAATTATGAACCTGTCCTGAAAGGCCAATCCATCTCATCATTAAACACGCAAGGTGCCCACCTGCTGAGACAGTCCTTTCAAAGAGGCTCCATTCACTTTCAAGATCACATCACCCACATCAATTTTTCCACTTTCTGCTGCTGGCTGTCCAGGAAACAGCTTCTTAACCCTTACTATGCTGGTGTTCACTTGTTCAGGTACAAGATTATCTTCTCGTGAGAAGCTGAATCCTAGGCCCGAACTATTTTTAGTCAATTTTACCTCAAATGTATTTTCTGGAGGAAACAAAGATATTTTTAAAAAAATTAACCATTCATACTATGCTATAGGTAAACATCAACATACACACATGTAAACTGTTAGAGGAATTAAAAAATAAATAAGCAACAAATGACTATTCTACAATACTCACCCATTTCATGCTATGAATCCTGATACTGAAGAGTGGGAATTGATTTGTCAACAGTTTTTTTTCTTTAAAGTATTAAACTGAGTGAGACTCCACTTGATGGCACATAGCAATAACATCATTAAATTAAGAAAATTTAATGAACTATAATGGATGAAGAGAAAACAGGGTCTGAAATTGGGCTTCTAAAAATGGAATGAGGCTTCTGAACCATGTGCTTTAAGAGACTGTTTAGCAGGGATACAAGATGGCAGTGTGAGCAGCTACACGCTTCTCTATCCTGTCCCCCAAAGCGAAACCAGAACATTAACAACAGAGGTTAATTTATAATCACAGAACTCTAAAAACCAGTCAAGCCAGCAAAGAATGGACTTTTAAAGGAGGTTGCGCTCAAATGGTAAGAATATTTTCTTTTCCCCCATCTATACCATAGACCCACCCCTTCTGCACCTTTAGGGCAGCTGTGGGGGACAACTGTGAACTACACTTCCAGATGGAGCTGCTTTCTGTACTTGGAACCGTGTGGCAGAGACATGGCTTTAAATGGTGAATTATTGTGTCTCTCTTTTCTGCCCAAAGGTGTGAGGATGAACAAAGGCTGTGGGTAGGACCATGAACATTCCATCACACAGGACTAATTTGCGTGCTAGGAGTGCACTGGAGCACAGGTTCAGCTGAAGGAGAATGGCTGCAGAAGAATGGCTCTCAATACAGTTTGTAATTGTGCAAAACTGTGGTGTTAAGAGTTCTAGACGTCGTCCAATCTTCTACCTATGTAACAGTAGCACTGGAACTCTTTCCACTGGAAGCAAATATTTTTAAATTCTGGATGTGGACCTGACACTTAGTTCAGCCCAGTGGGTGCTTGATGCTGATCTCTCCCAAAAAAACCAAATGCACCAATGACTACCACCGCCATTCCTCAGCCTCTGGTGAGCCAGTGGCTTGTTCTCCCAGAGTGACTCGTTGGTACCTAAGAAGGCAGTGGGGATCCTGTCCTCTAGGAATCCCAAGTTACAGTGTGCACAATTCAGTCTGACGCTGTCCTGAAGGATGGATCATTACAGGGGCGTTGGACATCTCTCAGAAATGTCTATACCCTGCTGGTAGATTCAAAGGGCTAGAGAGCCCACTGGTAAAGACCTATCAAGTAACTGAATGACCACAGAGATAAATGAACTAGAATACACTTTCTAAACATTAGTTTAAGAAAAATCAGGAAACAAACATTTAACTACAGCCTTAGTTAAGTCACAACAGCAATTCCAGAACAGTAGGAAAATGAGATATTTATTTTCTGTTTTTGCTGTTTGCTTCTTGCCAGAGGTATAAAGAAACCTCCTTTGAAATATTTGTTTAACTGGGCTTTAAAAAAGGAAGCCTCAGAATCCACATGGCTTGTGAGGCAGTGTTTGCAAGAGTAATCAGTACATTTGTCGAGCAGATTTACAGATTCATAAATGCATAAGTCACTGCAGTCCCTGAGAAAAGGGAATGATTAGTGTCTCAGAACTGCCACCTTAAAATGTCCCAGACGCATAGAAAAGTGCTAATAAAGAACATGTCTGTTTTATATTCCATATAGTGCTAATCCAGTTATTTACAAGGGACAAGAATAATTAAAAAGACCAAAGCATGGAATGTGATCGAACATGTAACAATAAGTTTTGACTAATCCATGGATAATTTCAAGGTAAGGTGATAAGAGCTCACAATGCCTGACCTTCAGTGACAAAGCTGTAGTCTCTGACATGAGTTGTTTTCTTTCCCACTTTTTCTTGGGCTTGACCTTGGGCATCTGGATCTGGCAGGGTGCACTGTGGGGTCACAGGGACATGTTCTTTGGGTGCCGAAGACTGTCCCTTTTCCAACAACAGATGAACCACCTAAAATGACAGGAAAACACTCTTCATCAAAATGAATTATGAGAAAATAAATAAATCTCAAGACTTTGTGTAGCTGATGGTATAAATCATTAACTGAACTAGCTGGCTTACCAAAATATAGGCAGAAGGGCAAAGAAAATGTGGCAAACAGCAAATGATTAAAGTTTTCAAAATCAAATTTTTATTATACTCTGTAAAGAGATGATTGATTAAAATGCATGGCCACTATACTGAAATATCCAACTATAATAAATAACTTGGACAACTAAAGTGACTAAGACAGAACACTTGCAGTAACTGTTTACGAAAATTAAAAGAAAAATGTCATTACAGACCCCACCCACCCAGTCTCTTTTATTATGTTAAGGCTAAATAGAATATAAAACATCTAAATAGAATATAAAACATCAGCTTCATCCGTTACAACCTCTTCAGTGTGGAAGGAAAAAGCTCAGTATGCTACCTGAGTCTGGTGTGGTTTCTTGAGTAACAAACTCAAAGATCTCAATCAGACCAATATTTTAACACGTTATTAAGTCCTACTGGGTTGTCTTGAAAGGCCGACATAATGATCCATTACCTGCCCTGTATTTCTCAGTGTTTCCACAGCTTGCTTATGGGTAGCTCCTTCCAGACTAACTCCATTGACAGCCAGGACACGATCACCTTGATAAAATCCATAGAGAAAAAAGAATTAAAAAAAAAAAGTTCTACATGCTCTTTCAACACTTCTGGGTTTACTTTGCATTGAATTATTTAAGGAGAAGCTCAGACAAATTCTGGACAAAATCATGTCACAGAGTGTTTATATGTAATGGCATTAAATGCTGTCCATCATGTATGGCTAAATTTAGGCAAATATGCAGGAGTCCTGCTGGTGCAGTGGTTATGTGGTAGGCTGCAAATCAAAAGGTTAGCAGTTCGAAACCACCAGCCACTCTGTGGATGAAAGATGAGCTTTCTACTCCCGTAAAGAGTTACAGTCTTAGGAACCCACAGGGCAGCTCTATGAGTCGGCATTGGCTCTATGGCAGTGAGTTTATTTTTTTGAGTTACAAAGCAAACGTCTTTACAAAGGAAATCAATATAAATCATGAGAACACATAAACTGAATTATAATTGTCAAGAGATTTGAGAGATGTCCTTAGTAGTGCTTATTAGAAATACAGATGTCATTGAAAATACCGGGGCCTTTTCCCTCCTGCAGCCTCTGGCAATTTTCTTCTCAGCTAGGGCAAACAATGAGTGAAAATACTGTCTAGTTATTTTCTGATACTAGAAAATAAGCTATAAAGAAAGCTTTTGGAACAGCATTGAGATAATTTAATATATCTATTCATCATTTATTGACTCTTTTGGGACCTGACATTTTGAATTTACGTCAATAATAAAATCTACTATATAACCAGCTTGAATCTGGTCCATTGGAATATCTGGTAGTAAAATATTATGGAGAAGCGAGGTGAGAGCAACATTGGCCAAGATGATGTATCTACTTGGCTGAGCCATGATTCTCAGTGGGTTAGCAGTTATGCAACGATGTAGTCATCCTCTATTTGTAATCTGATCTGCTTATCATTTTTGTGCTAGTGCCAATTTTCACAAAGTGACCTGTACTTTTGAACCTGTGTCAGTACAGAGGAGTAGGTGTAATAAAGGTATTTCATATTACAAATTGAAGACCTTGCTCAACTCTCTAATTTCTTATCTATTCTTTGGCGTGATAGCTACATATCGAATTCAAGCACACACATAGACACTATACCTTTGTGAATTCTACCATCAGACTCTGCTGCTCCCTGGGGAATGATGGCTTTCACATAAATACCACCATGCCTGACACTGGTGTTCACACCTCCCTAAGCAGAAAGAGATAAAATAATATTGTGTTAACACAAAAAATTTTTTTCTCACTCTTTTTCAAATTTGAGATCTAGAATGCATTTAAAGCATCAGCTAAAGTAGCAGTATCAAGTCAGCATGTGAAATTACTTCAATACCCAAGAATGTTTCTAGCCAATCTTTTCAAATGTCAGAGCAGTGACATTTTAGCCAAAATCCATTTACTGTAATTAAAACAATCACAACATTCTCAGTCCTGACAAGGTGAGGGACTGTGGATCTTTTGTAAGTCTACACATCATGCATTGTAAGCAAGCAGAAAGCAAAATCCATCCATGCAAAATTAGCTTTCCAGGAGAGCTAGTAAAACAAAGTGTAAAAGGGGGCTTCAGAAAGTTCAGAGAAGAAATGAATGAAAAGGTAATGGAATTTTTCCATGAACTCTTTGAACCTCTCTTGCATATGAAATAATACACTACAGATTGTATTTACTAAACTGAAAGTGTATCCTACAAATCAAAGCAGAAGATATTTTCTTTCATTTTACCAGACCTTGGTAGAGAAGTGACTTTATGGTGCTTTATGAGACTTAGTGCGTGGAACTGCTATCTACTGTCAACATGTAGATTTTATTTTCCTTCATAATAAAAAAGGCAACACCCCCCCACGGAAGAAGCACACCAGCCTGTGTGATCCTGCGGTGTCGCCGCCACCCCCCACCCCCGGCCAAAGAACAAAAAAAAATCTAAAAACCTAACGGATTTAAAGCAAAGGGAAAGAGTTGATAGTATCGTAAAATGTACTAGAAAGTTAGGGTTTTCATCTCAGAAGTTTACAATTTAAAGGCTGCATGGCACAAATGGTTAAACACTTGACTATTAGCTAAGAGACTGGTGGCTCAAACCCACCCAGAGGCATCACAGAAGGAGGTCTGGCAATGCGCTGCTTCCAGAAGATCATTGCCTTGAAGACCCTATTGAACAATTCACTCTGCACACAGGAGGCCATCAGAGCTGGAATTGATTTGATGGCAATCACAACAGACTATGCTTTCAAATGGGTTTTGTATTTATTAATATCCTTCCAATGGAGTGCTGCTGCCAGAGGGGTTTTGCATTGGGCTGCGATCAGAAAGGTCAGCAGTTTGAAATCACCAGTGGCTCCATGGAGAAGGATGGGTTTTCTACTCCTGTAAACAGCTACAGTCTTGGAAACTCACCAGGACAGTTCTACCCTGTCCCATGGGGTTGCTGAGTTAGTATTGACTTGATGGCAGTGAGTTCATTTTCAGATGTAACACATGACGTTGAATCAATTCAGGGGCCAGTATCTTCACCCATCAAATTCTCACTTTATTTTATCAAGTAATCTATGCTCATATTTTAATACCTTAAAATATATTCCAAATGAATTTAAAAATTTTAATATCCTAAATATGTTTAGAAGACCCAAAGATTATGAAGAGCTAAAGGGCATATATGTCTATGTGTCAACAAATCGTTCACTCTTCATGATGGGTGGAAGACGTATCATTTCATTATTCTATGCACATGCAGAAGCTGTTAAATGTACAGGAAGCATAAAGATTCCTTTTATATTTTGCAAGTCATAATCAGATGAAGGAAATGGCAACTTTGGGGGGTGGGGAACAGGTAGTGTTTGTCTCATTTTCTGAAGCCAAAGAAAAATGAACAGCACACACAATTAAAATAAAGGGAGTGGTTAAGATATGATTCACTTTTAGAGTTTTGCAATATTTGAGAAGTGTCCCATTTTGGAGCAAAATTAGTAAATTGGCATATAACAATAAGGTGCTGGAAAGGGAGAAGAGAAAACATTTGAAAACCTTGTCAAACAGTACCGTGACACTTATCCCCAAGCTGTTATCACTTTTAGCCAGTTCAACCTCAAAGACATCTCCAGGTTTAGGAGGTGATGGAGAAAAACTTTTAAAATTCATTTTGTTGCATTTATTCAGTGAGGAGGAAGATTCCTTAACAAGGGGGGAAAAAAAAAGGATTTTTTGTTAGATTCAAAATGAATTGTCATTGGAAGGCCAATATGTTTTGAAAAAACAAAACAAAATACTAAGGATAGGGTGAATTAAAAGAACATGGTGCTTGGAAGAGATCTTAAGAGATCTTCTAATCCAATGTCTTCATACTTTAGGACTGAGGAAACTAAGGTCCAGAAACAGGCTTCGTTCTAGGTTAAACAGCTAGCTGTATTTGGTGGCGAGAAGCCTGGAATTCAAACCTGGTTTCTATATAATCTTTCTGATGCTTCACACAGTCCCAAATTTGGAAAAGAAAAAAAAAATCCATTGCCCATAATAATGGTTCTTTGCCAAGGGGCAGGTATTGACTTAGGACGCCTTGCTGGTGCAGCGGTTAAAGTGCGTTGCTGCTACTGAAAGATGAGAGGCTTGAAGCTCACTGTTGTGGTTAGGGGCGGCTGTGTTGGTTCTGCCTCCTCAGTGACTTCCTGCACAACACAGAACTGAACACTGCCCTGGCCCTGCACCATGCTCACAGTCATTGCTCCACTTGGGCAGACTGCTAAAGTCACTGTGCCAATCCACCTTGTCCAGGGTCTTCCTACTACCACAGCCCAGGAAACTCTATGAGGCGGTTTTAATCTGTCCTATAGGGTCGCCAGGAGGAGAAGCCAACTTCATGGCACCTGACAAGTATTCACCTTATGATGAGAAGGCTTCATGTTTACTCTGCTTATGTGTATAAATCTGACATAAGCATAGAACAGGTTGAAGTTGTCAAGAATTTTGTCTTGCTTGGATTCACAATCAATGCTCATGGAAGCAGCAGCCAAGAGATCAAAAGATGAGTTGCATTAGGTAAATCTGCTGCATAAAACCTCTTTAAAGTACTGAAGAGCAAGGATGTAACTCTGAGGACTAAGGTGTGCCTGACCCCAGCCATGGTATTCTCCATGGCATCATATGCATGTGACAAGTTGGACACCGAATAAAGGTGACCAAAGAAGAATTGATGCATTTGGATTGTAGTGCTGGAGAAGAATACTGAAAGAACCATGGACTGCCAAAAGGAAAAACCAATCCGTCTTGGAAGAAATATGGCCAGAGTGCTCCTTAAAGGCAAGGTTGGTGAGACTTCACCTTACATAGTTTGGACATATTATCAGGAGTGACCAGTCTCTGGGGAAAGATGCCATGCTTGGTAAAGTCGAGGGCTGGTGAGAAAGAGGGAGGCCCTCAGAAGATGAATTGACACAGTGGGCAAACAGGTTAAAGAGCAACTGTGAGGATGGCATAGGACTGTGCAGTTTTTGTTCTGTTGTGCAAAGGGTTACAATGGGCCGGTACCAACTCAATGGCACCTAACAACAAGCAGCGAATGAGCAGCATCTATGAACAGAAGCTAAGCCCCCAATTTTGAGGGTGTATCTCTTCAGTGAACAATGGATGTAACTGTTCCTTTCCAAAATGGCTTATGAATTTTAATGTAAATTTGCATCATTTCTAGGAAACTTTCCTAAGAAATCTTTTTAGTAAACTTTTCAATATTATTACTATTATTATATCATTATTAATTTAGAACTTCAGAATATTTGAACATTAGAAGACGTGGGCTATCCATAGTAAAGCCAACTACCCACTATTAGAAGTACTGGGAGCAATTTGGTTTTTAGATATTTAAGTTCTCTTATTAACAGAATAATTAAATATCCAAGGGAAAAGCAACATGTAAGAAAGCATTCATAATCTGATTATTCTCTCCTTTGTGCACCAGGTGGCAAGTCTCCAGGGTAACAGCTATTTCATAGTTAGCATTTAAAGCTTCTGATTTCTGTGAAAGTTAGCATCAAATGCAGTAGCAGTTAGTAGCAGAAAGTATAAAAGATTACACCTACACAAAATATGTAAGTAGCTTACAACACAGTTATTTTGCCTTGTATTATTTTTGTGGTTATTTTTGTGCTAAATGAAAATACAGAGAGATTAACATTCACTATGCCTTTTTTGGTGTTTGATGATCCCGAGTCTGAGAATAAGTGGTTTCGTCCGTGTCTGAATCGCCACGATCCGAGTAATCTGCTGCATCAATGATGCCCAGTGTTTTAGCTTTGCTCTGGCCACAGTCCACGGAGATTCTCTTTTTCGCAGAAGCTTTGGATATGACAGATGAGGCCGGGCTGCCATGAAATGATTCCTTCCAGGCCCGGTCACCTCCATGGCTGGCAAAGAAGCCGTTGACCTGGCTCTGGGACAAGCCGGCACTCTCCGTTCTGGAATCCTGAGAACTCAGGCTTCCTTCCCTCAGGCCACCGGGCAGCACACTGAAGGAGCTGTCCTTGATGTGCTTCAGGGTACCCTGTGGCCAGTGGCGATCCTCAGAAGAAGAATCTACAGCACTGTCTTGCAGGTAGGAAGGTTTCTTCATGTAATTTTTCATTCCATTGGCAAGATGCACTGGAGTAGAAGGCACTAGAAGAAAAAAACCCATTGGTGAGTATAACAAATTAAGTGACACACGTGTACGTGTATGACATGCATACATAATTTCCAGCGAAGATTGTTGGGAAGATTTTACACAAAACACATACAGAGCACACATAGCAGAGCCAGGACCTGGAACCCCAGCAGGGGCCCAGTCAGTGTTGGATTTGGCTTTCTGGGCTTTCCTGCGTTGGCTGTTTTTGGGGCAACACCTACTGAAATGTGTGTCCTCTTCATATAAAGCCCTTATTTTGATTCACTAAGATTATTTGATATCATTCTCTGCAAAGACTTTTTTTGATTTCCCAACCATAATTACACTTTCAAGCACAGCTTCGATTGAGAATGGATACTAAAAAATAACCACATGAAGCTCTCTGCAGCAAAGAAACATTTGTTCTGATCCCCATACAAGGTGAACCCATGGCCACCAAGTAGAGTGTGACTCACAGCAATCCTGTAGGACAGAGAACTGCTCCTCAGGGTTTCTGAGACTGTAAACTTTATGTGAGTGGACAGTCTCATCTTTCTCTCTCAGAGCTGCTCGTGGCTTTAAACATAATCCTTGATAGCTGATGGACATTGGGCCTCCACTCAAGTACTCCCTCAATGCAAGAACACTTTGTTCTATTAAACTGGCATTCTAGGATGCTCACTTTCTCGACATAATTGCTGAAGACAAAGCGGGTGAATAAGCAAATGTGGTGAAGAAAGCTGACGGTGCCTGACTATCAAAAGATATAGCATCTGGAGTCTTAAAGGCTTGAAGGTAAACAAGCGGCCATCTAGCTCAGAAGCAACAAAGTCAACATGGAAGAAACACACCAGCCTGAGCAATCATGAGGTGTTGAAGGGATCAGGTATCAGGCATCATCAGAACAAAAAAATCATATCACTGTGAATGAGGAGGAGTGCAGATTGGGGACTCAAAGCCCATCTGTAGACAACTGGACATCTCCTTATGGAAGGGGTGTGAGGTGGAGACAAGCCAGTCAGGGTGCAGTGTAGCAACGATGAAACATACAACTTTCCTCTAGTTCCTAAATGCTCCCACTC